ACATCAAGCAGAGATTACAGCTAATTCTAGCATAGCTTGTCCCCCTTGTATTCCATGTGCAGGCTTTTCTGCACTATTAGATATTTCTCGCAGCCAAGAGCCCTGAACCCCCAGCAGGTTATATTCAGTGTCTGAGTGGGAACAGAGTATTGATCCATCTGAGATTCATAGCACGCTGGGTAAACCTATCGTGACCAGCGCTGAAACCAATTTTATGAGGCAGGAAGCACGAAGGCACGGACTTGTAGTTCTTATCCTAAGTTTATTGCTGCTCTCTGGTAGATTCAGGTAATACTGTAATTATCAGCACAATTTCATTGATTAAGAACTAAGAAAGGGGAAAGAAACTCCATCAGATCTTACTTTGAACTAAACAGGCCAAGTCTCCAGAGAGATTTGGTGCAAGTTAGAATGCATATTTAATAAGGAGTGTGTGTGGAGAGTTACTGCATGGAGCTTACAGCCACATACAAAAGGCTGCCAATAAGTCAGCTCAATCACAGTGTGAAGTCATTAAAATGCACAACATCTCTTATAAGTCCATGTGTCTTAAACAGTATTTCAAAGTGTGCCATTTAGTCTTTACATTAATATTTCCGCAGGCAGTTGAATCACCTTCAGAGGATCTTTCTGGCCGTTCTGAACTGAAGCCTGGAGGCTCATTAAGGAAGTGCAACACTTGTGGTGAGGTTTCTCTGTCACTCTGATAAAATGATTCAACACAATGAAATGGATCAGATTGCACTGTTGCATCACTCCATGTCTGCCGCAACCCAGCACGGAATCAGAGCTGTTGCTCAACTGCCACCACACCAAAGTGTAAAGAGATTTAGAGATGGTGCTGCAGCGGTTTCATTTTAATTCCTTATAGAAGACACATTTTAGGAATACTCATAATAAGAAAATAAACCAGTAAGTTCTTTCCTGGCTTGTGCTCACGTGCAGCAACAGACACTCTTCTTTGTGTACAGTAATCCTATTTTTATATTTTCTCATATTTTTTCCCTTTTTATCCAAATTGTACATCTATAAAAGACCCTGAAAATAAAGCCTTCACAAGTATTTAAGACATAGCATTTCTTGAAGAAATGCTTGTTACTTGTTGACTTTCATGCCACAGTTTTGATCAACTTATGCTGAGAATTTAATTTAATTTAATTTGAATTTAATTTAATGTGGGGTCTACTTCCCCCTGTCGTTCTCCCCTCCCGTGGCAGGCCCCCCTGCCGCCAGTGCAGTGGCAGCTCTCAGCATCTGGGGCTGGGTGGTGGGGTGTGGGCCAGCCCGCCTTGGTGGCTGCCTGCCGGGGCCTGGGTGCCCTGGCTCTGTCGGGCCTCTGTTGGGGGGGCGGTGGTATGACCTCGGGACTCGGGGCTCAATGTCCGTGGCCAGATCTACTCTGGAGGGGTGGGTTGCCGGCGGGGCCTGTGGACTCATCGTTGAAGCCTCCTGGGGTTTCTGCATTGTGGTTGCTGGAGATCGCCCGGGTCTTCCCTTTGCTTCTCTCTCTGGGGGGTGCAGGTGTCCCTGTTGGGGGACTGCCTGAGCTCCGGGCTTGGAGGCCGCTGTTTGTGTGTCTGTAGCTCTGGTCTTCCCTGTGTTACCATCGTGTCCTGTGGGGACGGGTTTATGGGTCCCCACATCCACTATTGAACATTTTTATGGAGAAACCTTATAGTGACAAGCATGCTCACACAGGTGTTTAGATCCAGGTGTTTATCAGATACACACTCAGTTGGGTTGTGGAGACCACTAAATACATCTTGTATTACCATGTACCGTATAAAATACTTTCTAATGATGTTATAAGTATCATTATATATGTTGTTTTGTTGTTGTGGTTTCTCGGTTTTGTCTTTTCTTTCCACAGGTCTAGAGGCAGACTTCAATGATGTTGATTTGTGTTCTCTTTATACCTCTCTCTCTCTCTCTCTCCTCTATTCTTATCCCCTTGTTTCCTTTTTAACCCTTCTCCCACTTTTCTGCTTTGTTTTCTTCTTTGTTTTTTCATACCCGTGTCCAAATAAAGAAAAAAAAAAAAACCTTACGCTGAGAAATGTCATTACTCAGAGTCAGAGTTGTTTCTGTCAAGTCTTATATATTTAAACCGCTCCATAATTTGTTAACAAAGTTGACCTCAGCAATTAAGGTCAAAGTTGGAGTATGCTGTGGGAATGGCTCACCAAATTTAGCTCAACATCTTTAAAAAGACCATTATTGTCACTGTTGTGTTTTCCAAAGCTAGATGGCTATGGCAGTTGTACAATTCACTGATAAGTTACTGATAGGGCCCCAACTTGTCTCAATAGGTGTAACAGTCAAGTGTGATGCATATGTGTTCACAGTCTGATGTCATACCGCTCCTGAAGTGATTTGGTCCTCCACTTTTGACACATCTGGTGGCTTTGTTCTTCCTTTCTTATAAGCTTGTTTAAAATGCATCGTTTTACAGTCTTGGGAGGACAGATACTGCAGCTTGGGGCTGTGTAATTCCTGGGATGTTCTGCTTGACATTTCTTTCATAAAAAATGATAGAAATTAACTACAGTATATGGATGCTCTTGTCTCCCTTATTATTTTGGCTTAACAGCAGTTATACCTAATAGGTTAATTTCCCAAAGTTAATCTCTTAAAAAAGCATCTAATGATTGTGATTAGCAAAAGTCTTGCTCAAACTGTTAACACTCAGATTACGACTGTTTGCTCCTTCCACAATAGGTTTTAACTCAAAATCCAAAAACTGACTAGGTTTAAAGCATTTGTTATTGTTGAGGTTTGAATAGTTTTGGTGACCATATGAAATTGGGTTAACTCCAGGAGGTAGTTAGTTCCGTGGTTTATAAAATATTCAAGTAAAATAATGGTCAAATAAATACACTTACAAAACTGGGAAAACAGTTTGCCTTTGGCCAGTGGGCAATAACAATGGCCCTTGGCTTATGTTTGATTCATTGAAAGCAATGCTAACAGCACAACTTAAATCCCTGATTCATCTGAAATGTGCCAACTGCAAAACTAATGAGCACCTGCAGACAAAATAGTACTTGTGTTTGTGTAACAAATGAAAGCTTTGGTTCCAAAAGGGCTATTTACTTTATGCATTAAAAAAAAATCTTGAAAAATAATTTAATCAAAACCCTACAATGAGGCGAAATGTTTCAGCACAAAAAAAGAAACTGTCCAGATGACCTGACTGAAAATTGTTGGATTGTATACCTGGATTATTGAGCGTGGACTTGGTTGTTTTCAACCAGTTTGACAAGACTGTCAACAAGGAAGAGGGCCGGCAATAAAGTAGGGGCGTACCAAAGCGACCATCTTATCACAAGCAGAACTGGGTTGTTCCACTTTGGAGTAAGCTGTTGGAGGAAGAATCAGTTTTGTTGTGTGTTTCCTTGACTGATGAAGCCTTCCGGATCGAAGGCGAAACGTTTCAGCACAAAAAAATAAACTGTCCAGATGACCTGACTGAAAAAATGTTGGATTGTATACCTGGATTGTTGAGCATGGACTTTGTTGCCTATACTGATTACTTCTGTCATCAATAACTTTTACAGCTGGTGGTATTTACTGATCTACATCGATGGTGCTCAGCTACTACCACACTGAATTTTAGCTCAGCATCTACAACAGTGACTGAGATAGAAACAATTTTTGTGTTTTCTAAATCTGATTAGCTGTGGCAGCCATCTTAATTTGAGTTGATACCAAAAACCAGCATAGCAGTTACTTTCCGAGAGACTGAATAACATCCATTAACTGGTTCATAGAATATTTTGTTAACATGACACAGGAAAGTACATTATTGCCTGCATTTTGCCTTTTGGCCATAGGAGAAAAAATAACTAATAACCTTGCTGTTTGAGCAGACTATTCCTTAAAAAGTAAACAGATGTTGTAAAAGTCATGCAGATATTTACTACTACTAAACCCAAGTTTTATTTGAATTGTAAGAAATATAAATCTTACAACTTTATATGCAGTCATCTATATAGTAGTGTTGCACATTTAGTCATCATATTCATTTACCATCAATCTGTATCTCCTCTAGTAGATTTTGACCTCACCAGTGTTAAGAATGAGGCTCTCAGAGGGCAGAGAGCAGAATAAAAATGGTATAAAAGCAGCAGACCATGATGTTTCCTTCAAGACGCTGTTGTTTCCCGCTGGGTTTTATTAGCTTTCTGCAGCCCCTGCAGGACTCGGCTTACTTCACTCATGGAAATGACAGATTAATCAGCTGAGTGCTGGAGTGTGCAGGGGGATGCTGGAGACCAGCACACAAAAAGCAAAGTCAATAGTAAATCATGCTCATTCACAGCGAGCCGCACCTTCATCCTCACCAAGCCCATCCTGCCCGGCTCACACTGCGGTTGGCTTCCCTCTTCCTGGCACACGCTGAGCTTTTTCAAGAACAGATGGGAAAACCCAACACATGTTTCATGCTGACACCTAGTGGAGTCCAAAACATGTGACTCAAATCCTTTTTGCATATTCAGCCGTGTTAGTCTGATATGCTCGTTATTTATATATTAAAAAAAAAAAAAGCCAAGAAATGTTCCTCTGAAATAATTTGTCGTGAATTATGAAAACTTCATTCTTCCAAAAGAATTCTCGTAAAGAATTATTTTAAAATGATAAGCAAGAGGACTTTTGCTTTCAGGTCAGCTCATGTTTCACCTCACGGCTCATCAGAGTCTTATATTGTTGGATGGTTTCAGAAAGCATTCAGCCATGGACAGTGCCAACTGGGCCATGTCTTCAGTGGACAGTGAGGGCAAAATGTAGGCTGTATTTCTAAAAGGGGGTGCTGCAGAGGATGGAGGCGTGCAACAATGTGCAGTGATCTGTTCCTGATTTATTTTTATTTAAATAAAAGGACAGTCCCTGCAATGATTCTGAACCATTCTGATGGGGTGAATCATATTCTGCTGCTTCCTTTCACTTAAAAATCTCACTTCTGCAGTCAAGCACACAGAATCTGCTTGTTGGATACTTACAGCCAAAACCTTGGCTTGTGGGAAGTAGCTGGAAGTAATCACAGTGAGGGTGTCGTCAGTCCAAAATCCTGCAAGAGAAAAACAACATGAACTTAAAGAGACATTTCCACTGCTTGAGATAAAAGAAATTTAAAAAAAAAAAAAAATTCTTCCAATATTCTGAAGACAACAGTATTTTTTAACATAACCACACATTACAAAACCTTGATCTTCTGCAGATAGATTAATATTGATAACTGTCTCCAGGTACCAATAAAAACTGATGCCTGGATCGGTTTTGATTCACGAAACTAGAAGACAAATAAATTATCACTGACAGCTATCAGCTGCACACCACTGCTCAGCAATTATTGAATTAATTCACTGCTATTACTGTCATTGTGCTCTAATCACTGTTTGAAAACACAGAACTGAAAAACAGCAGTTCAAAACACACGTCCTCTAACACGATAACCATAGACTCATATTTCAACATTTACCAGCAAAAATCAACAGCTGCGTACTGACACATGTCAATTCACTGATGGCAGTCCTAAACAATTTACTGTCTTTTTTAAAATTTTAAGAAAATGGTTAAATATCACATCCAAATATTTAGAAAAATATAAACTGAGAACAAACAAATTTGTTCTCAAAACTCAGCCTGTATGCCAAGGATCTCACATCATTTCTGTGATGACATGTCGGTGATTTATGTTTTGCATCTCAAAAAATGTTATCCCACAATGCATCACTTTCTTCTCTCTCACCAACTATGCATGCCATTAACGAATATCATTTAATTTGTGGTATTTTTCTGTGGATTGTGCCTCTTCTCTACTCCAGAACTGGATGTTTGTGATCTGTGTTTACTGTCCTTTTTTGCATTGCTATCTTTTTGGCTCCCAATTCTGGTACCAGTAGTAACCTTGCATGTTTTAGCTGTTTTCCTGCTCCAAAGCAACAGATTCAAGCTTTAAGCAATCTCCACAACATATCACCAAGTTTGACAGAAACCTGTTCATCATCCATTCATTAAAATCAGATGTGATAAAGCAGGAAACCATCTAAAAATGCAGGATAGTGGCCTTTGAGGGCCGGATCTGAACATCACTGCAACACCAAACGCTCCACAACCCACATGTCACCCTTTCATAGTTTTGCAAACAATAATTAATAGTATACATACAAAAAAATTTTACTTCCATGACCACCTGTCTCCTGAACAAAAGCAATTTAAGCACTAACGATAATGCTGCACCGCATACTCTATGTAATAAGCATTAATCAAAATCATGTGTTTGAAAAACAAATCAATGATGGTAAAAGATGGTGATTGATACAGTGTGCAATTATTAGCATACTCCATAACTGACTCAAACCTCCCCTTTATGAAATTAGGAATGGCAACTTATAGAACGCCTTACTCACACACAGTAAAGGCTGCAGAAAATCATCAGCATTCACTGTTTTATTCCTGCAGGCTTCTTCAGATATTACTAAAGAGCTGGTTGGAAAGTCCCTTTAATTGTCTGGTCATGTCAAATGTAGCCTCTCTAGAACATCTCTGGAAGATTTCAGGGCTGCAGAGCATAAATGCAAATAGCTACAATTTGACCTCTGGGCAGATAAAGTGATCTGCCATTTGTACAAGCAGAATAATTCTCAAAGATGTTATTAATATTATATGAGATTATATGAAACCTTCCAAAAGTTCTAAGGTGGAATATGGCAGCGTAAGGTTAGATGATGCTAAACTATCTGCTGAAGAATCAGATCTAACAAATCTTGTGATGAGTAGTGAAGCTCCAACATGGATGGACGTTCTGTTAGTTCAAACAGGTGCACAGCATGAGGGACCATTCAGAACGATTGTGTAGGCTGTTTGATGGGTGAGGTTCAGATGTCACCTTGAAAATAATGCTTGGTGTTCAGTCAGTGATCAGTGCATCAGGTTTGAACTATTATCTCACCAGAATGTGACTGTTGGAGATGCAAAATTCTGAGAAAACTAGCAAATGTTTACTTTTAACAAACAGACCACAGTTAATGAGGATCCACAACCTCTCCTCCTCCACCATAACCCTCAGCACTGGCTCTCCTCAGGGATGTGTGTTGAGCCCCCTCCTGTTTACTCTGCTCACGTATGATTGTGCAGCTACCCATCCAGGCTGTCACATTGTAAAGTTTGCAGATGATACATGAAGGACCCCACTCACCCAGCACACACACTTTTTGCCCCACTCCCCTCAGGAAGGAGGTTAAGGAGCGTTAAGTGTAGAACCACTAGACTGAGGAACAGCTTCTACCCTGAGGCAATTAGACTCATGAATCTCTAACTAGAATAATCACTGTGAAAAACCATATCATGTTGCTGCTGATCTGTTTCATGTTGCTGCTGATCTGTTTCAATGTTGATGTGTTCATGCGTGCACATCTGCTCACAGAGTCATGTTCATGTTTGTGCTGATGTTCAATGTTTTATGTTATGAGTGCTTAGTGTATATTTAGTTGATGTTTTTCTTAGTTCATATCTTAGATGTTATTACTGTTTTTCTTATACATTTTATTGTTGGATGTAACTGGGACCTTGTGTACATAATTTCGTTCCACCACATGTACCACATGAGGTGCGAATGACAATAAAGAAACTCTGACTCTGACTCTCACTCTGAAATGTTTACTTTATTCACGTAAATTTTAATGTTTACATATGCACATAACTTAAGAGAAATGTTCCTGCAAATGATGTGCAAATTGTTGTTTTTTTAATACTCAGCATGTTTAAGTTTAATTGCGATTTGTTCTCGTATTTTATTTTTTAATTAGTCATAATTTGGTTTCCTAAGTTGACAAATCATCTCATAGTTGTCTCATTTCACACACTTTATGATTCACAAAAACAAAATTGAGAAACTTTTACGACAGGTTCCAGATGTCTGCTACAACTGTGACAATTTTAAGAATGAATTTGACACGCAAATCTTTCAAACGTTCAAAACTCTTGGGACGTGATAGCATGGTTTTGCAACTCAGAGTACATTTTTTTTTCATTCAACCTTTATTTATACAGGTTAGTCTCATTGAGCCATGAGGACTCATTTACAAGAGCGACCTGTTCCAGACCGAACATACAGACAACAATAGCAATAATAACAATAAACTACAGTAAACGACAGTAAAAACTACAGTAAAAATGCAGTTAAAATTAAGACCTCTCGCAAAAATTTAGAGATGATTTGTACTCTCTCACAAAAGCCGTTAATTATTTGACATCACTAGTGGCAGCCCAGTAAGATACGGGCTTCAAAGTAATGCAATGCTCCTTGCGTATTTATTGGGTCAGAAGTAAACTAGTTCTTAGGTCTTGAGTATAATTGCGTCAGTGAATCCACAGAGAAATGGTTTGCTTTTTGCTATTGACTTGAAATCCACCAGAGATATGTTAGAGTTAGACACTTTCTCTTTTAAAACCAGCCACTATGGAACACAAGCCAGTGTGTTGCTTGTGGCAGTCCCAAGCTTGGATAAATGGTGTGAGTTGTGTCAGGAAGGGCATCTGACATAAAACACTTACTGCCAAAACTAATATGCGAGTTCATCTAAGCGGCATCATACCAGACCGGTTAAGGCCCGGCTTAACAATGGCCGCCACCAATGCTGTTGACAGATAGGGTGGCGACAGAATGAGACAGTAGAAAAAGAGGAAAGTCAAGAATGTAGGACTGAGGGTGGCAACTCAAAATGTGGGAACAATGGCATGCAAAGGTAGAGAGCTGGTTGACATGATGTAGAGAAGGAAGGTAGATGTTTTATACGTCCAAGAGATCAAGTGGAAGGGCAGCAAGGCTGGCAGCATTGGAGCACGGTTTAAACAGTTTTACCATGGTGTGGATAGAAAGAGAAATGAAGTAGGGGTGGTTCTGAAGTAGGAGAAAGTAAACAATGTGGTACAGGTGAAAAGAGTGTCGGACAGGGTGATGTGTCTGAAGGTAGAAGCAGAAGGTCTGATGCTAAACATTGTCAGTGGTTATGCTCCACAGGTTGGATGGGATGTGGAGGAGAAAGATACATTTTGGAAAGATCTGGATGAAGTGATAGAGAGTGTTCCGAGGGAGGAGAGAGTGGTGATCGGAGCAGACCAGAATGGGCATGTTGGTAAAGGAAACAAAAGGGGATGAGGAAGTGATGGGTAGGTTTTATGTCAAGGAATGAAACCAGGAAGAACAGATGGTGGTGGATTTAGCCAAGAAAATGGAAATGGCTGTAGTTAACACATTTCCAAAAGAGGGAGGAACATAAAGTGACCTATAAGAGTGGAGGAAGGAGTATGCAGGTCAACTACATTCTGTGTAGAAGAGGAAACCTGAGGGAGATTGGGGACTGTAAGGTTGTCACAGGAGAGGGCGTGGCCAGACAGCATCGAATTGTTACGTATAGAATGACTGCTGTTGTGAAGAAGAGAAAAAGAGTAAAATCAGAGAAGAAAACCAAATGGTGGAAGCTGAATAAGGAAGAATGATGTGAGAAATTCAGAGAGGAGCTGTTAAAGGCTCTGGTTGGTAAGAATTAAGAGCTTCCAGATGAATGGGCTAATACAGCAACAGTAATTAGAGAGACCGGTAAGAAGGTATTCGGTCTGTCATCTGGACAGAGAATGGATGATAAGGAAACCTGGTGGTGGAATAGTGAAGTGCAGGACACTGTTCAAAGAAAGAGGTTAGCCAAGAAGAAATATGACATTGAGAGGACTGAAGAGAGGAGACAGGAATATAAGGAGATGCAACATAGAACAAAGAGGGTGGTAACAAAGGCAAAGCAGAAGGCGTAAGATGAGTTGTATAGAGGCTGGACACTAAAGAGGGTGAGAAGGACTTGTACCAATAGGCAAAATATGTGTGTAAATGAGAGGGAGGCTGGTGGAACAGTGAGGCTACAAGAAGCACTTCAAAGTGCTTAGGCTCAACTGTCAAGGAAAATGGGGAGTGTGATGAAGAGGTGAAAAAAAAGAGTCCAGGCAGGATGGAGTGGATAGAGAAAAGTCTCAGGAGTGAGACAAAAGAATGGCAGCAAAGGAACCACTTAT